TCTTGATGTTGCCAATAACATGGTGTATTTTCGGTTTTTGGTTACTAAACGACATTCATCGTTTCAGCTCAAATGAAAAATTCTTCTTCCGCTTTAAATATGATTTATACCTTCATGACAAAACTCGTTGTTATTTATTTGAGATAATATGGTATTTCAGTCAGTGGTCGTCGCACGTGTTTAGGTTTTTTACTGCTTATTTTAGATACAACATATAAACAGTAAAAGGGAAGAGAGGTGATATGGCTATTTGCGCTTCCGATATTTACGACCTTTCGAGCTAACACTCGTTGGCTGAACAAAATTATAGCCGACAATTGTAGCAACCTTGTTGAGTATTTTTTCCGTACTTAATAATAATGATAATCGTATTCATTTTAATAATATAATTTGTTCTTGATCAAATCACATTTATGTATAAAACATCAAATACTACTATAATATTTTTCTATCATTATTTTTAATTAATCTTAAAAATACTTTTATATAATACAGTAGAAGCTGCTTATTGGATACACTTTGGGACCAAGGTGAAATGCGTCAATACTGTCAATTAACCAATTGTTTCTAAAAAGTGATTGAAAAAAAAATGAATTATACGCGAAAAATATATGTATGTATGTATATGATGGTACAATTTAAAAAAGTATGTACAAATATTTATATTTTACTATATCATTCAAAATATTTATCAATCGAAGTTTGTTTTTTTTGCGTCGAGTAACTCCATGACCATATTTTCATACGAATGATATTACCCTTTTGGCTTTGTCAATTTTGAATGCGTATGTGTTATGTGTATTCAGGTAGAGCTTTAAAATAAAACCGAGTCTCGTCCGCATTAAAAACATCAGAGAATAAGTATTGGGTTAGCAAATCGGTCCAATGAGTTTCAAACCACGATTGGTTGCACAAAATCGGCTTAAATCTTGGCGCTTGGACATTTTTAGATTTTTTTGAAAAACGAAAAACGAAACACTAATCACCTTTACGTACATACGCCGAAACTTAACTACAGACAGTACAAACGGTACGTACAGAAAGAGCATTCTAACGATAAAGTACAGTAAAAATAAACATAACAACAGCAAAGATAAGATTAAAATGCATTGGTTATTTCCAGATAACCGGTGTATATATCAACTGACCTTCGCCTAATTGCTTCAAATAACGGATGTGATGTTTCAATAATCCCATTTATTTTTTAATGTTCTAATGTACAACCAATCCATCCCGAGACATTGTTTTTTCAATAATGCAATTGTATCAATTATATGTGTTCCTAATAAGTGGTTTCTACTGTAGTTTACTAATATTTTATTTAACAATAGATACCAATACGGCAATTTAATCACAAAACCGTTATTATTTTCATAATCAAAAATAACTGTAAAAAATAAAATTATTTAAAGTTCAAAAGACGGAAATAAAGTGTTATATGTATTATTTAATTTAATGTATTTTTTTTAGATACCCGATATTTAATAAATATTAAAAACATAGTGAACCCATAACTTATAAACAATAAGCATAAATAATACTGGTTAAGATAGACGATCCAAAGAAAAAATAAGTTATTTGTTTTATTTCGAATTTATTTACAATAATATTGATAAAAAATTGGACATTAATATTCTTATTTTTTATTACTTTGTATTTGCTCAGGTACTGAATATGCATGTAATGTGTTTTATCAATCTTCATTTACTTTTTATAAAATGTATTATACTTATGTTTATACTTAGTATTCTTAGTTAAATAAATGTTTTTTCCATCTCTCTCTCTCTCTCTCTCTCTCTCTCATTACTTTAATTAATGTATAATTGTTTCTTTGATCGTTTTGTATACGCAATATAAAGTGTGTTATAGATGTGTATAATAATAATTTTCAAATTTTTGTTTAATTTATAATAATGAAAATTATTTAAGTGTGAGTATTTCACTTACAACATTAAAAAATATTGAAATCATAATAACACCAATACACTAGTAATGACTAAAATACTAAAATATTAATCAAGCTTAATTATTAAAATACTTTATATAGTATAAATTATAATCCTTTCTAGATTTTAATTAAACATTTACACTATATTAATTTCTAATCATGTAACAATAATGGTATAATATTATGTACAAAAAACTTTATTAATTAGATTTTTATCATTATACCTTATAAATTATAATACATTATTTCAACAATTTACATTTTTTTTTTGCTATAAGGGGAAACGAATATAATAGTTTTACAATAATGTGCTTTTATAGACATTTCGACTTCAAATTTCGAAGAAATTGGATATTTTTAAACGACTCAAGTTATTTAATTTTATAATGTACCTCTTCTATTTAAAGCCTCTTCACTACTTATTTTGTTGTCATTGTTTATTATTATTTTATAAATTAAATGCATTATACTACAGCTCTGCAACAGATGGCTTAGTAATAAATTTTGTTAAAAAAAAAAAAAAAAAAATGATTTAATTTAAATTTTGAAAATTCAAAAATTATTATTCATAGAAACTTAAAGCTAGTAGTTATTGTATATATTATTATTTATAAAACACGATATCATTTTTAAAATACTTAGATTAATTTTAAGTTATTTATATCACAATCCTGTTTGCATCGTCTTATGATACACCAGTTTTGACTTATGAATTTATAACAACTAGTAATATTATATGAAATTATACAGTGGCGTAACCAGGGGGGGGGGGGGGGGGGGTTAAGGGGTTCAATCCCCTTAAAAAAATTGTTATTTTAATATTTATAAATGTATAGTTTTATTAATTGTTATACTTATGTATTATTCAATTACCATACAACTCAGTACATTTTAGCGCATTTACAGTTTTACCGCTCCTGGAAAATATATTTTAAAAGTAAGCAAAAAAAGGTCATTAAATCCCCCCTCCCCTTTGCCCCCCGAATTATTCCTGGCTACGCCACTACCTCTATATAATATTATATGAAATATATTTTTAGTAAAAACTATTCAACCTACAACAATACTAATTTAAAAATAAATTAATAATAACAATATAATAAAATATCCTTAGAAATATAAACTGATAGGTAGATTATTTCTGTTTAGAATTGTTTTTCATTCGTAATGATTTAATATTGAATTAAAATTTAGCACGCATAATAAATTAATATATATTTAGGTAACCTATTATATTAAATGACGAGATATACTGGGATATTATTATACAGCAGAGCAACATCCCAGATTTTTATGAACAAAGTTTCTTCTATTAAAAATGATTTATCAATATCATACATGTGAATAATTTTATATTTTATTAAGAATCATAAAAGAATATAAAGATTTAATTCAATATGCATAAGAATTATAATAAATTTTCAGTTGTAAGACTTTAATTAATAAATTAATACAGGAAAGTTATCTTGATTAATAAATTAAAAAAGCATTTTTTTTCTACATATTTATAAAATAAATATACAATTTGAGCATCGAGTTTCTATAAAAATAAGTGCTATAAGATTGTTTTACTTGAAAAACATGAATGAAAAAACTACTCACGTAGTTGTAGCACTATCTTTTGTTTTCATATCTTTGATCATAAAACATAAAAATATTTTATTAATTTAGGGAAAAGGTTTTACTCCTCAAATAAAATAATATCACGTATTTACAAATACACATTAGCAATACACAACCTATAAATGTGAAATAAATCATATGTTTTAACATTAAAATTATATAACTATTATTTAACATACACAATTGAATGAAAAGTAATATAGGTAGGTAGCATTTATGTAATATTTAATTTTTCAGAATTAAATTTTTTGCTAAGTTTTTAATTGAAATAAAAGAATAAAGTATTATGTTTTGTTTTCAATTTAAGTTAAGCCTATTTTATGAATCCTTTCAACGGAATAATACAAAATACAAACGACCTATTTACTATTGACAGTATAATTATGTGAAGTAAAACGTGTAATATCTTGTATCAGTATTATTTTAGCACAACTAGTTAAAAAATAAAAATAAAAAAAAAGATCACAATTATCATTTATTGAGTTACCTTAAATCTTAATCAGTTATTATAAATATTATTATTTTTTTTAAACAATTGTTCTAATATACCTTTTAAGTAAAAATTATACTCAATGCATTATTAGGTCGTTAGCTTATTTGTATAATGAATTGTGGAGAAAAAGACAAAATATTATTCAGAAATGTTGCATTACAGTGAGTAGTACCGTACGTAGGAAAAGTTGAACCCGTAAAGTTGTTTCATTGATTTCAACGGAAAAAGGCTAAAAAAAAAAAATCGCCAAATCAAAAATACATCAGGGTTTAAAGTTGGAAAGCGGTACCATAAAACGTTTTGAATAATTTAAGTTTTACGATCACGGGATTTTACGTACATACTTTATATACCACGACGGTCGTTGAATCGTGCGTGACAATACTATTTTCATGTGCGTCACGAGTCATAACGTCACGGCCCACAGGTCGAGGAGAGATCACATTGGGTGTCATCTCACAGATACTTTTTTTAAAAGCAACTAAAGATACTAGGGCTTATTATTTAATAAAATAAGAGAAATAACTGGAGTAAAAAAATATATATTTGCTTCTTTCAGTGTGTAAATGAGTTTTTAAAAATATGCTTGATGCTCATTGAAAATTAATGAGCGTGCTATTGAATTCGGAACTATGCTTGTTCGCTTAAAATGTTTTTTTACAATAATACTTATTACTTAGTATTGTATTATCGATCGTCTGCTCTGTGTCACGTTGTTAGTCCGGCTATACTAAAATACAACAGTATTGATACGTGTACGACTGCTAAAAACAATTATGTAGAACTTCATTGCGACAATAAATCACAACGGTCGCAAATATTATTTGCTAATATTTTTGTGAAGAGCGCTCTGGTGGTCAGACTGAGTTTATGTATACCCCATCGCGTACGTCCGAACACGCTCGCGAAGCCGGACAAGTATATCTACACGTAAAACGGCTCGCAGTGGTACCGCGTGTTTTAAAGGGTTAATATCCATTGTAGTCGTCGGCGATATAAACGATCACCGACAATAATTGTCAGGTACGTACAAGATAAAACATGGTATTATATTCGAACAATAGTCCACATCACCGACTAAGTATTTGTGCGGCTATAAACCATATACTTTCAATGAAATCCGTTATTTTAATATGTTAAATGAATAGAATATAATCAGTGTTAATTGATTTTAATTATTATTTTTTCAATTTTTTTCCATTGACATCAATAATTTATCAATATCGATATAATCAGAACGCGAGACGATTCGCATAGGTACTCGCAGTATTGCTGTGAAATAAGAGAAACATAATCACCGCACCTTAAAACTGTGAAGCATCCCCTATAAACGTCATCCAATATATGGTATGTGTAAAATATATATAGTAGTTACATAACATACGTTCACTATGATAACCTTTGTTACAGTCACGGCTCTAGGTCGTTAAAAATAATGAAGCTTCGGCATTGGAATTCTTTAATTTTGGAAGTTTTAATATGCTGGTCGTTAGTTCGAACACTGCGATCAAATAAAATAAAAATAGGTAAGACATCTTAAAAGTACTTTTTTATATTTATATTATATTTTAATAATGAATAGAATGAATAGATAATATAATTCAATTAATTCATAATTTAAATCATATTTAAATTAGTAAATAAAACATTGTAATATATTATGATCTTATAACCTCATCTAACACAAATTTTTCATTATTTTAACAAACCATACATAATATTATTTTTTAATCTTCCTCGAGTTTTGAAAAATCGATAATAAAAATACATACATATCCAGAAATAAATTTAAATAAATACATGTTTATATTTTGCTTTTATAATAAATCGGAAAACATTTATTGTAATCAAATTATAAAGAAATTTTAAATTTAGAGTATTAACATTTTTTTCTCTAAATAAGATAAAAGATATCAGTATGAAAACTTTTCCCGTAAGTAAGATTATAGATTTCATTAAAACACTATTAGTATAATACTATGAATAAGCTTCAAATATAAGCCATCAGTATTATAAAATCATCATAAAATAGTATGATACATATCAACTATAAAATACAGTTTTTTAATTGTTCAATTTTAGTGTTACAATTTAGAAATGTTTTTATCTAGAATAAAAGAAATATATTTTTAGTATAAAAACTAAAACAATGTTTCTGATTGGTTCTAGATAGTTTTAACAATCGAACTAGAATTGAAATACATTTTCCAACACTCTTATTTTTATGGTGTAACAAAAAAATAAAAATATAACACAATAAAACCAACTGTCACAGCGTTTGAAAGCCCATTCTGGTGTAAAATAAAAAAAGCATTTTACTATTAACTTAGTTTTTAAGTTTTGCTGAATTGTGATGTTAAATGAAACAAAGTAGATAATATATTATTGATATAGTTGTAATTTGAGTATTACAATAAATTTTGATTTGTAAATTATAATGTCCAAAGGAGTCAAAAGTTAAAACTCAAGATGTATGATATGGTTAAATATGTTCTTATAACGATTTATTATTGCTATCACAAATAATCACTTAATAAAAAAAAATTTTTATAAAAATGATTAAACTAATGGTCTTCTCCACTCTATTGTGAATGTGTCTAGTCTAGTGTCTACGGAACTCATTATTTACAACTGAAACAATATTTTTATTTTTTTATTTTTTTTTTATCAAATATTACAATTTGAAAATAATTTAAAATCTAACAGCTTAAAAATGTTTTTTATTAATAATTATTTAAACTAGATAATTATTGATTGAATAAATACATTCTATAATATATTTTGAAAAATAAATAAACATCTGCATCTTCGCATTAGTACAATGAAATAATTTTTTTTAAATTTTCTATTATAAATTATATTTAACTTCAACTCAGGTGTTTACCTATGATAAATAAATTTAGTCATTTGGCATGTAACTAAATAAATTAACGATTGATTTATATCTTAAAAGATCTTCTTTGTATTGCATTTATACATAATAGTTGAATTGTAAATAAAATAAAGTATATAATAATTAAATAAAAATCAAATTTTTACAAGAGTTAACATAATATTTAGGGTTTCAAATGTTTGCAAACCAATAAGATTTGACAACATTTATGATCGTTTATTACTAACTATACCACTATATTGACTTTCTATTCAAAAAAAAGGTTCAGACACCGGTAATGGACATTTCAATTTACAACAGGAACTCAACTAATACCCAGTCAGAGAGTTGGAAAATCGTCCGGAAAATTACGCTCTTAATGTTTCATATCCGATTTCTCATCGCACCACAAAATAGCAAATTCACACCATTTTTCTTTTATTCTATATACATTACTTTAAGTTGGTCCTTAAAGATTCTATATAAAGCTTTATTCAAACTTATGATATAACGTTAAGTGTGGTTATGGTTATTATTTTTTTTCTCTTCGTACGGTTGGGTGAGTTAAGTGGTCTCAAACTTGTTAGATACTAAAAAATTATTATAAAAATGCTTTTGAATTTTTTTATAAATAATAGATAATGAATTAAATATAATTTAATAATTACAAAAATGTAAAAAGATATTATACTTATTTTACAATCAAAAAGTATTGATAAACTACAATATATAACAAAAAATTAATATAATTTATTTAAATCATACCTGTATCAAATAATTATTTTCACTTCATTTGTATAGCAACATAATTAGTTAAAATTTATTAAACTATGAACTTACCACATTTATTTGTATATCTTTGTAAAATGAAATATTGAATAACAGTTCTCTCAAACATCTGTAATTATTTTTTTTATTCTAAAAAAATAATCTTTTAAATATAGGATATAGTTTGTTATTTTATACCGTAATGATTATTTTTTAATAGATAAATTTTAATTGTATACGTAATTATCTACGTAGATAAATAAATCAATAACTATATTTGATTTTAAGTTAAATAAATAAATTTTTTGGTTTACATCATGATTTTACCACAATATGATATTAAACATATCATTATACACAATTAATATATTATATCATTCAATTTTATTACCAATAAATAATGGTTAAAATTATAATCTATGAGTTCTTATTATTGTATTTTATAATTTAATGATTTATTTTTCTTGATACTAGTACGGTTATTAACTATTTTAGGAGCATTGTTTACACATGACCAAATTAATAGCAGCCTTGAAATTGCATTCAAATTTGCAGTTGATCAAATAAACCGTGATGCTCATCTTTTACCACACACCCAAGTGTCTTATGATATCCAGTACGTACCATATGACGACAGTTTTTATACTATTAAAACAGGTATGATAACTTAATCACTTCAATAATTATCATTTACTCATTTGTTAAATGTATATAAATATAAATAGCATGTAAGCAACTCGATCTTGGTATTGCGGCTTTATTCGGCCCGAGTAATAGTTACTTGGCATCTCATCTACAATCTATGTGTGATACTCTGGATTTACCTCATATAGAAGCTAGACTAGATTTGGAAATGGATCCCAAAAGATTATCGATCAATTTGTATCCAAAGCAGAGTCTCTTAAACCAAGCTTATAATGACGTTATATCATTTTTAAATTGGACGAAAATGGCTATTATATATGAACACGATTACGGTAAAATTATATTTATAATTATATTATATTATAAAATTGAAAGTATATCCCTGAATTCCTTAAAATAGATCCAATAATTACGTTATATTACTATATATTTTAAAACAAGATAAATATTATGTATCAGTAAAATGTTTTTATTATATGTATATCATAATATATTAGTAATTGTTATTTAGTAATATTAATTCACTGATGATTTTTTTAAGTTTGCTACTAGGATAAACTTAGTATGGTAATAAAAAGGTATTACTGCCAGATTTAATTTCATATGATACAACTAGAAATTATTTATAGAATATTATGGTATACAATATCAAATAGACAATTAGTTTTTCTAGTTATTGGTTCTTGGCGATCGATATACATTTATTTCTTTAATTTATATCATGATTTTCATACTCAAATTTTGATAAATTCGTTAATAATTAATACTACGATTCGTTTTGAATTTTTAACTCAATTACTTCAATTTTCCTAAGTTTATAATTGTTTATTAATTGAATTACATTCATGCATACTTCATCGTTTACTTTTAAATTGTTCTTCAGACTTTAATCTTATTACCACAATATCTTAATTCTAAACTGCATTCCTAAAAAATAATACACCTTACATTTATTAGTTGTTTATTATAATCTTCTTTAAAAATATACGACCCATCACTCGACTCAATAATGTGACCACTTCCTATGCAATAATATTGTTGGTTATATTTATTGCAGTCATATATTATTAGATATCTATATTGCATTTGTATATTTATATTTGAAAAAATAAAAAAAAGACCCATTTCCACTAATACTTAATTATATCGTAGTATATAAATAAAAAATGACTCTAAAATACTTATATATAGGTACATATGAATAAAACTCATCAAATCGATTTTTTTTTTTATTTTTGTTATACAATTAATGTTAATTACACCTACAAATATAACTACAAGGTATGTTCATGCAACTGAAATTTATTATTTTAGATTTATTCAGAATGAAAGATTTCATGAAAACCGTACCGAATAGAAAAGCAGTAGAAGTATACTTGCGACATGCCACTCCAGAAACATACAGATCAGTACTAAACGAAATTAAAAATATGGAAATTTATAACATGTTGGTCGATACGAAATCAGAACATGTAGATCATTTTCTTAGAGGTGTAAGTCAAAATCATTATATTTCTTTTGAATTTTAGATGATTTATTATTATATATATATATATGTGTGTGTGTATTTAATATGATTTATTTTATTGACAACTAGATACTACAACTCCAAATGAATGATTACAAGTTTCATTATCTTTTTACATCATTTGTAAGTACCAGTAATAAATTGATTATTAATTCATTTTGATATAATATTTCATCCATTTATCGTCATATTACGAAAGTAAAATTTAATTCTTAACGTTCATAATGATTTAATCTTTCAAAATATACAAATATTTAACTTAAAATTGTCATTCGTAGTTCATACTAAATAAATCACTATCGCATAATCAATACAACAGTAATATTTCTCAATTTTCCTACTTTACAAAATTCAAGGAATAAGTATTATTATAAATTGGAACTATCATATTTAATATTATTGCCGTATTCAGGACATGGAAATGTTCGATTTAGAAGATTTCAAATACAATTTCGTGAATTTAACTACGTTTAGAATGGTAAACATTGAAGATGTCGGTGTTCGAGAAGTACTCAAACACATGGAACAATATTCCACTGAAAAGAATCAGTCAATTAACAAATTTATGTTGACACAGGTTTGTCAAGATTTTGGAAAATTCTATAAATACCATAAAAATGAATATGTTATGAGTTTGCCTTAAAATAACAATTATATTTAATTAGTGTGAACCAGCTCTTATGTATGATTCTGTACAAGTATTAGCAGTTGGCTTGGGCGCTCTTCAACAAAACAATGTATTCGATTATCCGAATATTTCCTGTAAAGATGAAATTCCGTGGAGTAACGGCTCCAGTTTGATAAACTACATTAATTCGGTTAGTAGAAATTTAATCTAAAATATAATACTTTCTCTTGAATCGTTAAAAATTGATAAATTTAATTTTGATTAACATGTCAGTTTTACTAAAGAATTATATAAATTACCAATCTACAAGAAACACGTATTCAATTTGATTAATTGGATTTTTGATTCAATCTGTATGATTTATCTACACACCATAAATAAGTTTATTAATTAATTTCCTAAATAAATAAATAAATGAATAATGATTGATATAAAATTCAAATAATACAAATTATAATCTAAATTTTTCTTTCAAAAAACATTTAATACATAATATACATATATTATAAATATACAATATCCATAATATTATACATTTCTGCATAATTTAACGTATATTTTCTGTAGTAATAAATGATGTATGATAATTAAAATTTTCTAAGATTAAAATTTATAAAAAGTTATATTAATTTTCAGCTAAATTTTCTTTAAAGACAAGAAAAATAAGACAAGTACTTTCCAATACTCAACAACATTAAAATTCAATTTATTTTTATCATACTAATAAATAGTTGATAATTCCATCGTTTTCATATTTCAATTGAATGTAATCAATATTGTTACCTTTGAGTATTTTTTGCCTTGTGTAAGACATTTTATTTATATTTTTCTCGAAAATAATGATAGTATGTATTACAATTCATTTTTCAATCAAAAATATACCAACAAACAAAGATTCATGTAAATATAAATTTATAATAATTGCAGGTTTATTTTTAGTCAGAAATAACATAGACTAAAATATTTTATAGATGGGTAATGTGTAAAGTTTTATGTGTACTATTTACATTGTATTTTTTCGTTCATAATTAAATCAGCAATATTTAATTAAGTATAATAACTGTAACTACGTGACTGCATATAAATTAATTAATGTATGATGTGTGGTATTCATGTTTATAATTATTGTTATACATTAACAATTAATAAAGATTATACTTTGCTTAAATATTTAGCATATGATTTACAATATGTTAATTTAAAATGCTTTCTATTTTATCATTTTAAATATATATATATATTTCTATTTGACTTAAACCGCGTTTAGTATATCATTTCTCGAAGTTTAGTAACCATTAGGCCTACAAATATCTAATAGACAGTAACTTCATCATAATATTGACGACTTGTATAAATACAAATAAATTTGTCTTTTATAAACTCATTAGATATTAATTAAACTTATTTTTTTTATTCTTTGGTAATGATATAGGTATCATACAAACATTAATATAATATTTTATATTGAATCTCTAGAATCTTGATGTATTGATTATTTTGTTATAATTTAACTACAGGTAGAGATAAAAGGGTTGACCGGCCCGATACAGTTCAAAAATGGCCAAAGAACTGACTTTAAATTGGACTTGATGAAACTTAAACAACATGCGTTAGCAAAAGTCGGTGAATGGACACCTGGACTTGGTGTAAATATCACAGATATGTCTGCTTTTCACGATACTGCTCCTTACAACATTACACTTGTTGTTGTGACAATTGTGGTAAATATATAATATTTTATACTAACAATATATATAATATATGTATACATATTTAAAAATATTATTGTTATAAATAAAATACCACAACAATATACTTGGAATAATATATTATGTTAATTAAAAATATACTTTATAGTATTAATAGTAATCATTTAACAAGTAAATGTTTCTAGTGTTTAAATTGTTCTAATAGTACTAAAAATTCTAAAAAAAAAATATTTTAATACTGACAAAATTATTTCAAACATCATCAATTAGTCAAATATTATTTGTAAATAAAAATGAATCTAAACCAAATCTATGAAAAATATTTTTAAGAGTAGTTCATACTCCAAAATCAATACATAATTGTTAAATATATTCTTCAAAATATATAATAGCTTCTCAAATCATAATATTCTCAATAATAACATTCAATACATCATAACTATTGAAATATGTCTTTAAATACGAATTAATTATAAGTATTTAAAATGTATTTAAAATACTTCTTATAAAATTATAAGATAAAATATATAAATATTTTGGTATATAAATAAAAATTATTTATTAACTGAACTTAAAAGCTAAATATCGTTATTTTAGATTCGAGCAGAGCAATGAATATATTGATTTTACAATAATATAACGCGTGTGTTTGTATCTTTATTCTCAATAAATAATCAAAAAAAAATGGTTAAATTTTCTATTCAAAAGGTGGTTTTTATCTAGTTTATACTTGAAAAAGGTTAAATTTTAACTACTTATATTTTTTTAAATAATCGGAAGAGAGGGCACGAAAAAAATTAAAATAACGGGAATTTTTACCAAAATTCAGCTTTTGATAAACTCGATTTTGATTTTTTGGTGTGACTCGAAAACTAATAATCATAAAAATGTTAAGTAAATTTTTAATAAATGGTTATATGATTATATGATTATTTTCTATAAATAATGTAATAATCAAAATATTAATACTTTCTAAGGTATTTATAGACGATTACAATTTTCGATATTTTTTATATAATGTTAATCAAAAAATTATAAATGTGTAAAAATACTTGAAAGTTCAAAACAAGATTTGTAATAAACCATTCATTTTACAATTAAAAAAATCAAAAAGTTTTAGTCTCAGTATTTCTTTATAAACATTTAGAGTCAAAATTTTAACAAACTTTGTTAAAATTTCGAAAATTACAAATTATTAAAAAAAATGTATTAATACTTAGGTATTAACAAACAAACTTTCAATCTTAGGATTTAAAAAAATAATACGAAATTCCTTAAACTTTTTATAACCTATATTAAAAATATATTTAAAAATAATTTCTTCCCGAAAATCATCTAAAACATTTTCTATGAAGTTTTAAGTTCAAATTTTAATATTATATATTTATCTGTATAATAATCACTTCTCCTAAAATAATTTTTTTTTCTATTCAAAATCAAATAATATAAATACTTGAAATTTATTTCCACTTTTTCTATAAATGTCGATATAATAAATTATTTGATAGAACATAATTTTTGAAAATAATACAAGATCCCACATAAGTTTTTCATATATTTGTAAAAAATTATTAAAATTACATAAGCACAATTATTATTCTACATGAATTATTTTAAATTTTCAAAATCACAAAAATTACAAAATATAAGTATTTTGAAATAAAAAATTCATATTTTTTTTTTTATTTATAGCTAAGGTTTTAAAATGTAATTTAATATTCCCTATGAGTGGTTCATACTCGAACTTAAAATGTAAAAAATATACGAACGCAATTATTTTTTAAAGATATTTGTATGGAATTTAAATTTGGACAAAATAACATTTTTAACCATGAATAAAACGATGTTAATTTTTTATAAATCAAAAACATTATTCATGGACTTCCCCTACCTGCCTGCCAATCCCACTCCACCGGGAGTAATATCTATAACACGAGAAAAATACTGTGCTTAAAGAAGGGAGTAGTAGTGTACTTAGCAAGTGTTTTGAAACTGACAAAGACTGATAAAATCGTTTCAATGAATAAAAATAGTAAAAAATTAAAATTAAAATTAATAAATGGGACAATTTTTTTACAATATATTATATTATTATGAATTTTATTATACGCAATAACAATTTTGATTTATTTTAAGATATTATCTATTTATACTATGTAATCTATTTTTGGTGTTACAGTATTTACAGAAAGATGTTATTACATTTTGAGTTATATAAGTAGATATAATATAAATTCATATTATTATAATAATAATTTTTTTTCTTTATTTTTTATTATAGAAACTTTGTGTAACAATTAGTTTTGACAATTATTTAATTAGATATACAGGTATTTAAATACAACGGAATAATTTATATAAGCAACCCGAAATTAGTGATAAAAATAATTGTTGCAAAGATAGCAGGGGGAGATTAAGAAGTAAGTATGTGGTGAGAGTTGAGAGCAATATTTAGAGAGTGAAGAATAGAAAAAAGTTGTAGGCGCTCCGTGTGCATTATAATAATTTAATACTTATAACGTAATAAATGCAATATTTTTTGAAAAAAATATATTAATCTACCATAATACTAAAATAAATGACTTTAATATAACTACTTTATCAGGAAATATATTTAGGGATGTATGCTGACAGGCTATTTTTGTATACAATAACCTATACAATTTAACACACCCATTATATCACCTGTGTACAGCACAGTGGTACCCACTAGCCTACCTTTTTCATCATTACAATTTACATATCTGATAATATTTTGCAAATAGTAGGTACATACCTTTTCAAATCGTAATGGAAAATTATTAGGGGTTGATAAACGCAATTTGACAACTGTTACACATACAATACACTTTAGTTGTGTATATTGTAAAGGAACACGCGCCTATTATAGATTACTATTTACGAATTTCAATTTAAAGTTCTAGTTATTCTGAACAACGTATTTGATTATTTTCATTGAAAAAAAAAAATGATTACAAATAAAACCCAGTATTATTTGCATTATATACGAAAAAAAATACTAAAGCTTAAAATATTCTTACATAAATACAAATTTAAATTATTTCTTTCGTGAATGTTCATTATTTTCAGTCAGCATTCTACCGATGTAATATGCTGTTTTGGATTCCAATACATGATTTTGAATCTTTCCTGATTATTATTTTTTTTATCCACAATAGTCTAGCAACCTAAAATCCTCTATTCTAAAATATTAAAATGGTTTTAAGATTCTTTACTAAGAATTTAATACGATGTATTATTAACTTAAATTTGAGTTTAAAAATGTAATTATTAACTACATAGAGTGTAATTTTTCAAATTAAAGTGCAAATTACGCTAATGTAATAAAATTAAAATAATAAAATTAAAAAAAAATAGTATATAGTGGTTACAGGAATGCTATATAATATGTGAGAATGGAATGTAAAGAGTAGTCTATACTCCATCATATTAAATGAAGGGATTGAAAGGATGTAGTGTTTTTACTTACTTTATGGATACCACGATAATGTAACTGCTAGGTGACAATTTTTAATTGGTGAAATAGACACAAAATAGAATGCATTTAATTTTTAGAAATCATTCATACATAACTTTATTCTACTACTATTTATTAGTGTATTACAATTATTTTTATTTATTTATTTATTTTTTTTTTTTTTTTTATTAAAAATTAGCTATAATTACACGGGATATTAGTTTTACATACTATTATATTTTACATATTTATACTAATAAATTAGATTAAGATAAACAAAATAGATCTAAAACTACTATAACTATTGTTTTTGATGTGTAATAATATGAATTTCACTATTTTGTTACTCTTAAAAAATAATAAGACGTTCTCTGGTTGGCAGTTGTACCTAATGATTTTATAGAAGTTCTCTTATATTCCTTTTATTTCTTCTTCGTTAGATCTAGTAAATTCCGATGGTTGGTTTTGGATGAAGTATCCAAAATTCTCAGTCAGTTTATTCTTATTTGTGTTTTTCTTTATGTTTTGAACTGTTGCAAGAAGTTATATTTTGTTTATTTTGTTTGTAATTTTGTGTTTTGTTCTTGCAAAATATTGCGAATGATAAATGTTATGAGTTTTTTCTATAACTAGTATTGTAATATGTTTTATTTTGGAAACTTCAGATTTGTATTTTTTTTACTTTTTTTTTTGTTCAGCCATTTCCATGTACTTTATAATGTCTTGGTATTCAAATAAGTTGAATATTATCGTTTTGAGATTTTCGTTTTGGACTAAATTTATAATATTGAATGCAATGTTGTTAGTATAGAAATAATTTCGAATACTAGTGTAATATGATAAGTGTGTATATAATACGACGTTAAGTATCACAGTTAGTATTTAAACGACATAATACGTTTATTGCAATCTTGAGAGTTGAGAAGTATTATGAAAGATAGGTGATAAGGAAGTTAAACACTTTTTTCTTTACTTTAAAATAAAATAAAATATATTTAACATCAAAATCATTAAGAACACAGGTTTTTAAGCTCACTAGATCTTCGACTAGCGCTGACTTTCTTCTTAATTAAACTTGGTGTTCTGCCTGTAAGTTGACGAATAAACATTACGAGTTTGGATGGCAAATTTATGGTAAATATTCCTCACTGGTTCCTTGTTTTTGAACGAAAAAAAATATGTTCTATCCGTATGGGTTTTAACAATAACGTATGGTAACGTGATATCATATATATTCTAATATTACTTTTCATTATTATAAAATTGTAGTATTATTTATGAATAGGTAAAACAAATTATTGTTTTACATTTGCTCTAGGATTCCTGTTACTTAGACTTAACACGTACATCATGTATTGACTACTAATATCTAAATAAAATATACACCATAAAGTATACTAAATACATAATTTATTACATTTCATAAAAAACTATATTGATTTCAGAATTTACTACACTGGAAATAGTTCAATAGTTTTAAGAGAGTGAATGAGTATGTTGTAAATTTTTGTCGGACAAATTGTCAGTGTATTTAAAAGTTTCTATAATAGCATTAACTTCAGTGGTATAAAATATAGATTGAAGATGATTTGTTTTTAATTTTATGTTGTTATTTTTCTTTGTCAATTATAATTGCTATAGTTGATCATTTGCTAAATTTGATGTATAAAATAAAATATATAAAATTTAGATTCTGTCTATTGTTCTTGTGAATGTTTAAGTATTAGCTTAAGCCTTAAATAAACTTACTATATGTTTAATAATGAATTAAATCAACAAATATGTTTTTAAGATAAAACACAAAATACGTGTAATTTTATAACCGTACTTGATATTCAAATAATCCTGTAAATAAAAAAACAAATCGCAAAATACGTGTTATATATCTACGAATTAAATTAACTTTTAAGGTAAAAAAAAAATAGGCTTAATATAGGTGTTAGGCAGACTGATAAAATTAACTAGGTTATATAGACTTGATCTCTTTCCTAAATACTAGTTACACCACCTGCTATCCAGCTTTGAGTTTTTCAAGTTTTAGATACACTCATCGATGAGAGCGAATCATCTCTACTTCTTTTGTTAAAATGTTTGTATTATCAGGTGTGCATATGTGTACACGCATTTTTAAACAAACTTTTAAAATATTTGTGTATTCGTGTAAAACGTTTGTATATAATTTGTATATATTATATTGAAATATCCGTATATTTTTAAATTTGAGTGGAGTAATAAATATATTGATTTTACAATCATGTGTTTTTTTTTTGAATATATGAGTGCACAATAAGTTGTCAATAAACTGTCAATTTTTCAACTTTTAAGGTTTAATTTGGACAAATTGAATCTAGTTTGTACTTTGAAGAGGTCAAGCTTAAAAATGTCTAATATGAATCTAATACGAATTTTAATAACTGGGAAAACAAACAAAACAATTTAGAAAAACAGGAATTTTACGATAAACCAAATATTGACTACACTGAATTCTTATTTATTAATTAATCACAAAAATTTGAAATTTTTTCTGAATATTTATACTATAATTTTCTATACATGGCAACATTTTCAACTTTTTTTTAAATGTTAACACACATTTTATGAATAGATAAAAATGTTGAAAATTTTTTTATTATCATTTTCATTATATTTTACAATTAAAAAAATAAATTTAACTCATTCTAAAAATTATATGCCTTCAAAATTTTCAATATTTTTTAGTTTTTTTTTTAAAAATTTCGATAAAAATTATTCATTGGGTCAAATTTCTTGAAAACGTATACAATACTACACGTAGGTAATTCATACTAAAACCATAAGATCTAAAAAATATAAAAGCAAACTCATTTTTTATAAACATTTTAAATTCAAATTTGGATAAAATTACTTATTAAAACAATAAATAACGATGCTAATTATTTCTTATTCGTGGAAACTTAAAACTTTACCTGTATTATATTATTACGAATTTTACTATACGTAATGAAATTTTAAATTTATTTTAAGATAATATCTATTCATACGATGGATCTATTTTTGCTGTTTTACGGTATTTACAAAAACATTAAATTAAATTTAGAGTTATACAAATGTTTATTATATGGTTTAAATGTATTTTATTAAAATAATTAAATAATACATTATCCAGTAAAATATTATATATTATCAACCTACCATAACACTAAAATTAATTATAGGCTGATAGACTGTTTACGTTTAAAAACATTTTTCGTATACAATGGTATATCAATGAATTTAAATTTAACACACACATTATGGTGAACCACTCTACACTTAATAAACAACAGAACAGTAAACACTTGCCTACCTTTTTTTTTTTTTAATTTTATATTGCATATGGTTATATCAGAGTGAACTGTTATGTAATTTTATTTTAACATTTAAATTAAATAGTTTATATTACAATAAAATAAATATATAATTAAAATGTCAAGAATAAATTTATAAATAAACATCTAACTTCTAGAATTTATATTTTGAATTAATTTATCTTACCTCTGAACCAAAAAATCAATAAATAAAATGCCTATAAAATATTATTTTTCAAATTGCAATATAACAAAAACTGTTAATTAATTTCATAATTTTATGTAATGTAAAAATTAATTCAATTCGAGATCGAATACACAAATAAATTAAAAATCATATTAATATATTACTCTTATTGTGTAAAAAAATATTAAATACCTATAATAAATAAAGTATTAATTTTATAATTTAACTTTAGGAATTTCCTTACGTCATGATGCATCTTGAAAAAAATTATACGGGAAATGCAAGATTTTATGGTTTTTGTGTTGATTTGTTAGAAATTATTGCTAAGCAAGTTGGATTTGATTACATCTTGGATTTAGTACCGGACAATAAATACGGTGCTCAGGATCCAGTAACATTAGAATGGAATGGTATAGTGGAACAACTCATAAAGCATGTATGTTTTTATCACTTATAATTACTTATATCATTATAATTTCATAAAAGCATAATATTTTGTTCGCAAACCTATGAATACATCTAAATAGAATCATGGTGAGCTATGAACATTTTATAGACAATTTGTGTATATATTCACTCTTAAAATCATATTATACGACTATCTTTAATACAATTCAAACTGCAATATTATTTACTTAATAATGAACTGCTGATGATTAAATTATTTTGTAAGATATTTACTTATAATATTATTATTACATTTACATAATTTTAATATCGTAATTTATTTGTTGGTTATTAACAGAACTTTAAAATTCAAAATATACTATATACTCGATATCATGAAATATTACTTTACCTCAAGCGCATTATGTAAATACACTAGCTTAATCTTTAATCCAACATTTAAACTTAGTTTACAAACCCCAGAATTACTTTATGATAAATTAGAGATTAATAACTATAAAACACCAGCTAACTGAAGGTTAATTCAAAAATATATTTTTAATATACCAACGAAATTTAATGTCAATATGTTTAATTTAATTAGGTATTATATTGTTATTTTATTTTTCTTAGAAAGCAGATTTAGCAGTTGGATCAATGACCATTAACTACGTCAGAGAAAGCGTTATTGACTTCACTAAGCCGTTTATGAACTTGGGGATCAGCATATTATATAAGGTTATCAAATATTATTCTTCACTAATATGCATTACGTATTTCAATATAAATACCAAATATAATATAAAATTAATGTTATTATAAATCTACCAAAAAAATAAATGTAAATTTGATGTTTTTTTAAACAATTTGTCAATTTTTAACAAAACAATTTATCATTCCAACTTTACTTGATGCACTTAAATATTATTGTTGAAATATTTGATAAATATTTAATTTAAAAAAAATAATTTACAAATAACTTAAGCTCATAGAAATTTTAAATATTTTTATTTAATATTAATATATAAACAATAACTAATTAAATATTATTTCTAAGAAAATTTCTAATTGGTTTAATTAGAGTCATCGTCATAACCACGAATCCAAAAAAGCGAATGTCAAAATAACGGCGGCAAAATAGCTAAGTATAAAATAACTAAAAGCCATGATAGCGAATGTTCAAAACAGTTAAAGTATATTATTTTAAAATAATTTAGTATAAAAAATAAAAATATATTAGGTATTTAAAAAGTATATTATTTCAAAATTATTAATAGTATAGTCTAACAGAGTCATACATCAAATTATATATAAAAAAGTAAAAAAATAATAAAAAATAAATATTATATTATATTTATAATTTATACTTGTAATATTAAATGATATGCCTTTCAAATAATTTACATTCAATGACGCCGTTAATATAATATCACTAATAATTTTACTTAAATTGTGTTGAGTATTTAAAAAACTTTTTTTCATTAATTTAGTTAATATTTTGACTTCGATTTTAGCTGGATTGAGGACATGTATATGTTTGAATGAAGAATCTCTAATAACCAAATCATTTTTAATTTTAATTCTAACACGACATTTTTCAACTTCCGCACATCTCCAGTCTGAAACTTCGCCGTTTTCACAACCCTTCCAATACAAAAACCCATTGTATTTTACGAGTAATTAATTTTTTTGTGAAATTAAATATTCGATATTTTTAAATAACATAATATGTGAAATTATATAATATACGAAGTATGCAACTGCAATACTGAGCGGTTAAACATACACTGTCGCTGACGAATATTGGACTCATTTCTAATCCACCTATTTTATTATTACATCTGGTCCGACCAAACAATAATATGGATAACCCAGCTATAAAACTGATTGTCATTATCTGTATCTTTATAACGTAATACTATTACTACAGATAAATAATAAGAGTAATAATTTTAAAATGATATATTTTAACTGTTTTGAACATTCGCTATTATGGCTTTTAGCTATTTTATACTTAGCTATTTTTCCGTCACTATTTTGACATTTGCTTTTTTGGATTCCCGCTTATGACAGGTTATTGTTTAATTATAAATTAATAAATTGATTTTGTAAAGTTTAAACTATAAATGTATGTAATATGTTGATTAAAACTATCTCCTAGTCAATTCTAAGTATTAAACCTATTATGAAAATTTCTTTAGATTTGTTCTTAAAAATGAACAAGTTCGAAATATTATATTTATGACACTCCCTCAAAAAAACGTATAATATTTATTTGAAGGTCGTTAAAAAAATTTTTAATTGGTAAGACACGTTTCCAATTTTCAACTGTTTCTAAAAAAAAAACAATTATTCAATATTCATAGATAAAATACGTAATTAATTTAAATTTTGATTGATATTTTATAAATGTTGTTTTTCTGTTCACAAACCATTTAATGTTTGTATTCAATAGGTTCCCAGCAATCAACCAGCTCAATTTTTCTCATTCATGAACCCTCTAGCACTAGAGGTATGGATTTACTGGCTAGTAGCATACATAGTTGTATCCGTTACACTGTACGTTGTAGCCAAGTTTTCACCGTACGAATGGGAGGATCAAAATTCTGGAAAATTATTTAGCAGTCCTATTCTAGAAACCAATATGCCACAACTCAACAGGTTCACTTTATCTAATAGTTTTTGGTTCACCATTGGATCACTCATGCAACAAGGTTCAGACATAAGTCCTAAGGTTGGATTTATTAACTAACACATTAAAAACTATTTCTGCTTAATTTTTTTCAAATGCTATTAATTTTAGTCTTGTTCATAAATACGTGATTTATTTTTTTAAGACATGACATTAACCATCAGTCGGGATCATTAATGCATTTTTTATAAATGGCCAACAATGTTACCCTATTCTTCTAAAAATTATAAGTCACATCAATAAATTTTCTCCCTTAATACATGAAAATATAAGGAGTCAATGTAGATACTATTGTGGTATATAATGTTTTAGATATGTAATTGGCAAATATCTGAAATTCTTTAATGACTATATAAACATAAAACATTTAGAATAATATTTTTTTTGTTTCTGTACGAAAGTAAAATGTAACAATTTTTTTTTAAATAGTTGATAAACGATAAAAAAAATATGAAAGGACATAACGATTCAAAACTAATTATGAAGATGATTTATCAATTATCACAAAATACACGCTGTTTGCCACTTACACCGAGTACATAAAAAATTTCAAAATACTCAAATATCAAAAGCACCAGTTATTTTGAGTTAAATCTTCTATAAATGTATCTCTCTTCTCTACGCGCGAATAAAAATGTGAACACATTTTGCGAAAATTGAAATCTTCAATGAAATTACATTTGTTGTACCTATTATTTTATTGTAAAATATTGCTAGTATAAAACTTAATTAATACATCAACTTGTTGCTATCACAAATACGATTTTAAAATGGATATTTATTTTCAAATAATTTGTATAGGTAATTAATATTAAAAATATTGTTAATAACATTTTTAGGCGATTTCTACAAAAATAATTGGATGTGTTTGGTGGTCTTTCACATTGATTATTATATCTTCATACACTGCAAATTTAGCAGCTTTTTTGACAGTGGACAGAATGGTTAGTCCGATTGAAAGTGCCGAAGATCTTGCTGCACAAACAAATATTGCGTATGGCACACTAGACAGTGGCACTACAATGACATTTTTTAGGGTAATGTTATACCATCTATTTAATTTAACAATCTCTATACCTAATGATATTTTATAATTTATTTATGTTACTAGTATAGTAATTTATTCTTCTATTAAAGTAATACGGTAAGTTGAACTACTTTTTGTTAAAAATATATTAAATTATATTTAATTGTTATTAACTTGCAAATTAATACTAAAATAACGTAAAACAAAGTAAATAAGTTAAAAATAGCTTAACAATCTAAATAATTTCCTGATTCTGTTAAATTTTGAACTTAACATGTCTAAAAAAAAAAATGGTGCAAAATGCACACTTTTGGTATTTTTAGATGGCTACAAGAAATTTTTATTAGAAATTTTTAAATATATTTTCAAACTTTTTAACTAAAAGAACAACACTTAATCAATATTTATAGCAAATTTGAAATGTCTATGTATATGTTACGGTAAATGATGTTATATCAGAAATTAACGTTATTCGCCGGTTATTAACGTTATTTACCTACGAATGTGGGAATTATCGTTATTTTCTAGTGAATAACGTTAATAACCGTATGATTTGGGAAATTTTGATCTGATTATAAAATAAAAGAGGTTATTTCGGAAGATTTAAAAAAATAACCAAAGAACCAATCATCAAAGAAGACAAAATCGGAAATTAAATCATAGAAATCGCAGAAAAAAATTCGGAACTTGGTACTTAAATATTTTTTAATTATTTAACGATAAATTTCCGAATTTTAAATATAACAAAAATAAAACTAAAATATAAATATTTGAAAATTATTTTAAATATTTTTTTGATGATTGTCAAGAAAATATTTGTATTGCATGTAAAAATTCAAAAAAAAATTTAGAAAAACAAGGAGAGGAAATGATGAAATTTTCTAAAGAAAAGTTTCCTCAGCTTGAAATAGGCTTAACTGTATGTGTATTTATACCAAACGTTGATAGAGCTCGTGGTTCTATGCAAAATATACTATCAGTAAAGTTGTCACTCAAGTTGAACATGATTTATACAAACTCTGTAAGTTAATTCTTAATGAAAAAATATACTATTAAAATTAAAATTTGTTTTATTATTTTATAAGTACGGAATATAGTTTTCTTAAATATTATTTCACATGTCAAAAATAGCTGTTTGCAAATAAAATCTATTAGACATGGACAATGTGATAAAATTAGCAGATGGTAGACAGTTGACACTGAGGGAAGTAGCTACCTAGTAATAATTCGGTTGCGAGCCCTCGAAAGTACCAGCGTTGTCATTGCAAGACTAGTTGTAATAATAATAAGCATTGTGCCTACCTTGGGGCTGAAAAATTATGTTATATTAAATGTCATGGGAGTAAAACTTGTTAAAATAAATAAAAATAATAATGCATTTATTCTATTTTTAAAAATATCTGGGTATTTACATAATTTTTCAAATTGTAGTATTTGAGATTCATGCGCTTATCTGGTTTATAACATCAATTACCTGTGTATTTGGTCATTAACGTGATTATCCAGTTTATAACGATAATTACCTGTATATTTGGTAAATAACGTTAATAACCGGTGAATAACGTTAATTTCCATTTAACATCATTTACCGTAACATATATAAAGCAAAAAAAATAATTAATTAATTATATCTAGAAAATGTACGTAAATATATAAACGGTGACATTTTCAAGTCTCTACGATAAAAAGTTACATAGTTGATCATTTTTTAATAGTAATTAAACGACTAAATTATATTTTCGAAAACAAGATTATTTTTGATATTTTGATACTTTTCTTGATTATTTAAAATATATTATCGGTTAATTATAATTTTTATTTTTTATCACTTCAAAGTATTAACTGGATTCAATTTTCTACCAAAAAAACCATCCTTAAAATTGAAGATTGAAACGTTTTTACTGTACTTAATAGTAATGACAGATAAAAAATATATACACAATATAACGATTATAATTATAGATTAAGTTAGAACCAATACATTCGTTGCACCTCTCGGAGTCTAAAATTATACATTTTACGATATTATACAAATTATATACATTTAGGCTTTTTATTCTTATTTATATAGTTTTAAAATATTAAAAATAAAAGTAATTTGTATTTATATTTAATTTTTTGTATATTTTACAATAACTAAAAATTGTATGATTATTTTTAAAGTATTATTCTGTATTTACCGTATTAGAATAAGTAATATTATATAGGTAAATACTTCACCCATAAATATAGTATACTGATATTTAAGTCTATTTATGTTTTTAAAAGATGGATACATTTTTTTGTTTTAGGATTCCATGATCGAAACATACAAGAAAATGTGGGCTTACATGCAGAAGAAAAAACCGTCAGTATTCGTGACGTCGTACGACGAAGGTATTGAAAGGGTTCTGCAAGGTAACTTTGCATTTTTAATGGAATCAACGATGCTCGATTACGTAGTGCAGAGAAACTGTAATCTGACCCAAATAAATGGTCTATTAGACTCCAAAGGATATGGAATAGCTACGCCCATGGGTTGGTTTTTTGTAAATTTTTGCGTAAATTTAACCTTAGTACGTGTGTGAATTTATTATTAGGTTCACCGTGGAAAGACCAGATATCGTTGTCAATTCTCGATTTGCAAGAAAAGGGCGAAATACAAATGCTGTACAACAAATGGTGGAAGCCACCCAATGACATGTGTGTACCAGAGAAGTCTGGAGCCGGAGCTAAAACAAACACTCTAGACTTCAAAAACATATGTAAATATAATAGGATATTGTCACTTGTTACTTTACTATATATTTTATATAAAACCTAAATTTAAAAAAGTATCTGTACATTTGTTTAGGTGGAGTATTCGCCGTACTTCTAGTGGGACTTATTATATCGATTATGGTATCTATGTTTGAGTTTTATCACTACAGGAAGAAAATAAAACAAATCGAACAGGTAGCAAATATTTATTTAAGTTTTTAATCTAAATTCTAAAGCTCTTGAAAGCTCACACTAAATTTGATTATAAATATTCTTTGGATTTACGGAAAGTTAGTTTCACAGATTTGAACTAAACTAATCATGTAAATTCACACGCAGACACACAGTATTATATAAAACTGAAGTATTCCAAAATATTATACGATTTGCATGATTTGCATGATTATGATAAAAACTATAAAGCTATATAAAATATAATCTATACTGTATAATGGTAATTACTAATTAGTATAATATTAATCTTATATTAATATCATTGAAATATGTATAATTATTTCTGATGAACCATTCATATTCTTCATCTAAGAATGCCATAAACATATAAATCGTTATTTTTATAATATATTATAGTATGCTGTAGTTAAATTTTAAATAATTAAAAATAAAATACCTCAAGGATAGCTTTAAAAAGGATAATTTTTAAATAATTATTAAATAATCAAAATTAAAAATTCCATAAATATTTTTAAACTTTTTTTACAACTTTTTGATATTATATATTCGTCGTGTCAAATAAAACTTGTGAAAAAATTGAAAAATTTTAAATGTATTAACAAAATATAACTTTTATTCATAAAACTATATTACTCGTAAAGATTTTATGATACTTTAATACTTATTACTTCTTTTAAAAAATATACATAAAGCACTGCAAATAAAAAAAAACCTATTTTGTAAAGTATGCATTTATATCTATTAAATTAAAAAAAAAAATGTTATTTTTAATACTTTTTTAATAATTTTGTCAAACATGTGATACCATAATCACTGCGTTTATATCTTAAGTAAATTAAAGATAATTTTTAAATTTCCAAACAACACTAACTTTTAAAAATATTTTAACTTAACATTTAATATGTATACGTGAATTATACGTAAATTATAAAATAAATTCTTAAAATTTGCTTCAATCATTAAATAATTACGATTGCTTTAAAATGTATTAAATTTTATATATTAAAATAACAATGATTTTAATGTGATGCACTAACTTGCATTCAACTAGGAGACTATTAATATAATGGTTGCTGAAGTCTATAAAAGTTTTTTTTTTTTTGTATTAAGCAAGTTCCAAGACTAGATATATTTTCATTTGCTTAATTGAAATGAACGATATCGGTTATATGAAATATTCTATCGAATAATTTCCCATGATTGAACCATTACACAAATTAACTCTTAAATAGCATTTCAAATAAACATAAATTATTTACATTATTATAATATAACTATAGAAAAACACAATAAAATTATATTCCATATTGCCATGCGAGCTTTAATAAAACGTACAATTTACAAAATTGATATATTAGTGATACAATGTAAAATAATAAATTAAAAGTATGCTATTGCAAAAACATAAAACAAAATTAAAACAGTATATAAATTATGTTTAAGTAAAGAAGTTATGTAGTGGTCGAACAATTAAAATAAATTATAAAGCTGGCAGAGCATTCTATATACAAGATGAATGTGACTATACGAAGAAACGTAAAAATGTGAGTGGTTCTTTATGGCGTAAGCAAGTCCATTGAATAAAATTGATGTGAAGAAGTCAAGAACATTAAATACGCCGCTAAGAAGGAGAGAAATAAAAGTACTTACATAAACAAAATGAGAAATAAGGGTAGAAATGATCAAAGTATTACAATAAAGAGTTTTCATGTAAAACATATTAAATATACAGTTATTACAGATAAAAATATTATTTTCTTGATAATTTTGCATATTATTAGTATAAACTAAATCTTTTTTCCAACGGGATTTATATAGTATGCTATTATAGTGTTCAAATATCCCAAAAAAAGCAAAATTTACACCAAAAAAAAGGTTATCAAACGTATATTGTAATCAAGGCCGTTACTAAGCATAAAATATAAGTTGAATAAAATTAAAAAAGGCATCCGTTTTAATTTAATCAAGCGCTCCCTCCATATTGGTAAGGTGATTTAGGACACTCTTCATTGTAATTTAACAAGTAATTTTCCATGTTAGTACTTAATTTTAAACTTATTATATTAGTTCTTAAAAATTGTTTAACCTTAAAAAATAATGTTCAAAAACATTACATAAAATATTCTTATCATATTACTGAAATATTTTAATTTCTAGTTTCTACGATAGGTTTTTACGATATATTAAAATCACAAAAATATACTTTTAATACATAATTAAATTCACAAAATACATTAAAAAATTTTAAAATTTTAAAACATGAATATTGAATACATTTAACGTTTTTCATTTCCATAGCTTTATACATTATCTGTACCTAATTTCTAAAAAACCGTTTATTTTATTGTTAATTCAATTAAAATGATTTAAATACAATGTATGCGTTTTCAACTACTTACAACTAAAAAATAAACGTATACGTTATCATAAAATATATACCTACAAATTGATATTCTATGTACATCCTTGATAGAATACTCGTAGAAAAATAAAATTTAACATGGTTATTATTAATGTTAAGGTTTAAACTCGGAAAATTACTAAAATTCTTTTAAATATAATAATAATAACAACAATAGCAATATAATCCATAGAGTTGTAGTGATGGTTGTATTCAGAGTCGTCGTAATAACGCATCGTTAGGTATGTATACTACGAGTAGTAGAAGGCATTTAGAAATATTTTAAGTATTTGCGAAAATCACAAAGCATTAACGTGTAGACGGTTTTGTATTCGTGACTCGATGAAAGAGAACTCTATATACTGTCCGTAATGTTGTAGCCGTAGGTGAGTGCACACAAACATCGAGTCATATCAAAAAGTCAAGACGAAGCCATTTAAGTATAATGAGATTCTAATGTACTCGTGTTTATCTAAATTATACTGAAAACGACGTAATATCTACAAAAGGAATACATTATATTTTAACATAAATACATGTATATATATTTATATGTACGCACAAATTATACACGTTATAAAACACGAGCATCCGGTCGACGCACGACGTGGGCATACTTAAAAGGTAAAATTTATAAAGCGAATAATCGTAATATTTTATTTGTAAATCACTGGCGCGTGGTTCTCGACAGCGCGACAACGACTGTTGGAGAAAAGTCGTTAACGGCTACGACACTTGCGTCTGTCTGAAACTAAAATTAATTTATATCATAGGCCTAGCGAATGTATTATAATATTAGTTATATTTCTAACGGGCTCAACCGTTCGTAAAAAACCATGAACCCACGCATTTAGTGATTTTTTGAATTTTATACGTCGGCCCCGTGAGGACTGACGATTAAAGCTGTGTACATTGAATCGTTACTCTTCTGAGAAAGCCTTTACACCAGCCACAACAAATATTATAATCTAACAAAATTTAATTGAATCTTAATTGTTTAGTTTTATTTCTTATGATTTTTTTTTTTTTACACATTCAATAAATTTTATGTTTTTATCACAGTACCTTTATCTTATTTTTGTTATATTTATTTGTTTACGACAAGAAACAGCGAATAGGACCACAGAGATCTATATGGAGGGACTTGGTTGACGAATTGTGGTTTGTTTTGAAATGTCAGGGCTCCAGACAGCGAACAGTGTTGACACACAGATGCGAGCAGTGCCATCCAAAAGTAACAGTGAGTTTATAATAATACTATAACTTTACAGAGTGATTCAGAAGTATGAACAAATCGCGTCTTCATATAACACATTTACATTGTCATTATATGATTTTATGTAATATTATGTAATTTAGACGACAGAACGACGTTCTAGACGAGATTTTATGGAAGCCAACAGATTGTAAGACTACGTTAGTCGCATTAATAACGTCAGTTATAATGCGTTTATTGTAGACGATATTATTGTCACGTAAATATTGTAGTGTAAGCATAAAAATAAATATTTAATTTTTTCATTTATTTTCAATAACATTTATTCACATTTAGTTAATATTGACAATTATTAATATTGTAACTGTAACATAACGTTTCATTTTCTTAAAATTATTTTTTCTATATACTTTTCCCATATTACGTATTCAATCCAAATATATCAAACAAACATTTATATATATTTATTATATTTTTAAATTATAAGATTAAACATTACTGTAATAATAAACGATTGAAAACCAACTAAAATAAATTGTTTATTATCATAACGAATGAAGTTTGTTATTAAAACGTTCAAAAATATCCATTTGTTTTCTTTTTTTTTTTAAATTAATGTATCAATGTATTTGTTATAGTGCTTAATATATATATATATATATATATATATATATATATATATATATAATTTATCATTTAATAAATATATTATAATATAAATATAATTTATCTTTAAGCAAATCACCAGCATAAATTATGATAGTACACGTTTCAATTGTATACATATTTAAATATAAAATTAATATATTTCTATTATCAATCAAGATTGATTTATCAATATGGTACAAAGCAATACATACAACTCATGCCATTTGCATGGATGAAAATTAACTTATATGAATAAAAGACTGCTTGACCCTTTGAGTAGAATTTTAGCTCATGTAGTAGAACTAGACAGATAAAAAATTTATTTTAACTTTCAATCAATTATAAATTTGTTTTTATATTGATTTGTTGGATAAAAATACTTTTAATGGAACTTGTTTTATACTATAACCCGATCTGTTCTTTATATCGACTACCCTTAATTGTACATCAGAAAATTTCTCACGAAATGGTTCAAACAATTCATGTTATTAAATGATTCTACGTAAAACCTTGTAATATTTTAATATCCTGCCAAAAGCATAATAATATGAACAACAGCTATGTTGTTAATTCAATAGCAAGGACAACGTCATAGTATAAATACAATTCTACAATATAATAATTTGTGAGCCACAGTTAATTTTAATATGACGTATCGATTGATATAATCTCCATTATAAGTATGTAAAAAATTAATTTCGTCGTTGGTATACGTAACACGGAAAGTCAACAGCAAACTCAAATATCGTTTAATATACAAATCAAATATTTCTACACCAAAATAATTTAAAAAAAAAAAAAAATCTATCTTCAAAAACTAATTTTTTTAAATATTTACTTTTAAAATAATGAGTACAATTTAAAATTAAATATTATCCTGTGTTTTTACAAATTATATACACATAATAATTTTTCACATTAATTTTTAATTTGTGCTTCATTTTTTAGATAGAAAAACTAATATGAGTAGTGGTTTCCTAAAACATCAGTTTACATCGTAGACATTTATCGAATAAAATACAATAGTGGGACAAAAATAAACAATAATATTTGTACACACTACACGATAAATATTCAAACAACAAAAAAGAAAAAAAAATGTGCATATATAAATATATTACCATTATTGTATTATAATATATTCGTTTGTTTATTTGGCTCAATACATCGAGAACGAGGTATCGTCTCGCCACTCGCCAATCTATTGTGTTGTGTATTCATCCAAATTGATGAAATGCTTTCCGCCAATATTTTACGTGTGGATGACTGAATCAAACGAATATGATATATATAGTGTTATATTTTAGTTTTGTGTACAATAAACTTTATGATTTTCTAAAAGTTCGTTTTTATATATCACTAAAACTTGGTAGTCAGACTCGTTCCTACAAACGCAATTTGAGATTTCAATTTTTGCGATTAAATATAAAATGCTTTCAACACAAACACATATTAATATATGTTCTGATCGTTGAAGAAAAATATTTGGTGCAAATATAACTTTAGTATAGGGTTAAATATGTGTTTAGAGAACTAATATATGTACACAATATGCATTATACATATCCATTCTAAACATGATGACCGAAAACACCATAAGTGCTCAATAAGGCGATAATAATACAATTCCTTCGTATTCCTTTCATTCGCGTTTCTCGCCACAGTACCATTAGAATAATAATTCATAGTGATGTATTACACAGAAAAGATATTTTCAACAGCTGTTAAGGATCGTCAATTACTTATGGTTAGTCTGGCAGCTTTTTTATTGGATATCAATAATTTTCTCACATCAAAAATTTTACTATAATATGTTTAAAAATGTTTAAATAAATAATTTATTGAAGTTATTAAAGCATTATGTTATTTCTATAACTATCTTACTAACCAAATATGCATTTAAATAATCAAAAGTCTTCAATCAAATTATCTGCTCTTCGATAACATTACTAGATAATTCAAATATTAATTTGATAAGAAAATTTTTAACTTAAAGCAAAATATTACTAATATTGTTAGTTGTTATTATAAATTTTATAATAACAACTAACAGTATAAAATACTTAGTTAAAACTTAAAAACAAAGATTCGCTTGATTTGAGTTATTTTCTTTTATAAAATTTAAGTTTAAATTATTTATTTGGTAATATCATATTATTAAACTATAACTAACTAGAACTCAGCATAATTGTTTTTATTAACTTGCTCATCTTAACAATTTCTCTAGAAATGAAATTTTCTAGAAAATGTGTGTACCTGGTAATTGAGCTTGTTATTCCTGGTATAATATTTTTGACATGAAATAACTACTACAAATTATTTTAAAATATGTAGAATATTTGGTTTTATATTTTACAAGATACATTTTGTACATAATATTTATTAAAAGTACTACAAATATACATAAATATATTCTATAAATTTCAAAAACACTAAAAATTATTAAAAAAAAAAAAAAAAAAAATACATTATTTTAAAAAGACCATAACACATATGTTGAATCATAGTCATAATTAATTTTAAGAAAATGTCTGTATAATTTACTCAAACTATAAAACACATTTAGTGTAAAAAACAAATCGTATCCTTTATACTAAAATATTTGAAACACTGAGAAGGGAAATTCTTTGATGATAAATTTAACCCTCAGCAATTCAATCATAACCCGTAATGTTACCTATTTACTCATTATTCAAAAGGTACAAAAATCTACAAAGTACAATATCTAAGCAAGTTTAAACAAATAAAATAGATTTTAATCTTATTTTATTTTTAAATATACAAGAAATATCTTTGTATAAATGCATTCATAAAAATTATGTTGAAACCTGCAAATTTTTTTTTTTTATTAAGCAACCAACTAAAATTTCCTTTATTAGGTATAAAAAAAACACACACCACGCGATCAACTTTTTTTTTATTATTGTAATTATTTCACTTTCTAAATAGTAAATACTAACTACAATTAAACTTATTTCTCTGTAAAAATATTTTATCTCTGTGGAAATAAAAACTTCATAAATAATTTTTTTTTTATTTTTCCATTAAGTTTTTAATTACCTAAACGGCTAAGGAAAAGAGGATTATTTTTGAAAATAATCAAAATTGGTTATAATATAAAATAATTAATTGTAATCAATTTTTTTTATTCTAACAGTAACACAATTTAAAATCGTGGAAAAACGATAAAATTATAAAAAAGTTTTAAGTAAAAAAAGTTATATTATAAATAGTATAATGAGTCAAGAATTTTCTCTGCTAAAAAGTTAGTGTTTTAACTTAACCCCCTTTCTCAAGCAACCGTTTTATTATTTTTTATTTTCTATTTTTATTTAACAGATATAACTTATAACTCATGATTATAGTGTAATATTAAAACTTACCATAACATATCATGTAAAAAAACTTTTAACTATTGTTCAACAATACAAAATTTCTTCTAAAAAGTATGAAATTGAATTTATTATAAGCTATTGCCAATAAGCTGTTCTCTCGTTAACTCGTATCCTTGAAAAATCCCAAATTTCTGAAAATTTACTAAATCCTTCCTTTTTCCTACAATCTGTAGTATCAACGCTAAATCAAAGATATTACCACATTAACTGCTAAATCAACATCTAAAAACGTACTTTAAGATAATGGTTTGTTTTTCTTTATACTTTTATAATACTACGTATAAAGAAGTTACTATTAAAAATATGGTTGATTTAATAAAACACACGATTTGACTTAATTCTTCAAATACATCATTATCGAAATATCGTTGAATTTAATTAGTTAATGCTTAAATGCTATACTTTAAGGTAAAACTCATAAGCAATATTGTTATAAAATATAACCGTCCGCAATTTTTGAAATATTTCGATCCAAGCATTTTAGTTTCCAACAAAATAATATTTTATATTTTCTAAGAACTAACTTTGTATAGATTTTTATTTAAGTTTATACTTTACAAAGATAGATACGTACAAAGTTATACAAAGAGATTTCATTTTATTGTGCCGTTATACAGTTTAATTCATATAATATATTGAATTAAATTCTAAATTCACAATGCTATACCTAGTATATTCGTGATTCAAAGTTAAATTACTATATCGACATAATATTATGATTTATATCACTGATCGCTTAAATGCAATTGTAAAATAATTACCTAAATGTATTATACGTAACTGCAGTGTTCAGAAATATAATACATAAATAACATTATATTTATAAATACGTTTTAGTTTCTTTGATTTTGTCCTCATACTTGCAAGTATTTTAAACATAATCTATTAATTTTTTTCCTAACTGACATTGTTTTCATAAAAACCCTATTATTATACACAATTCGAAAAAGTTTAACACTTTTTCTTCGACCAAAAAAATTATTTTATTAAAAAAGCATAATTATTTTTTAAATATAATTTCTAACATGACATTTTTAAAATTGATATAATTTTTTTTTTCTTGTCAACATCATTAAATTCTATATCTAACAAATTTTAATTACAGCTTCTGTAAACTATTAATATATCTGCTGCGGTTATCTATTTCACTATTAGTGAAATATGCTCTACCATTAACATATATTATGATAATTTAACAAAACCAAGTAATTATAGTAATAATGTAATCTCAACTATCAATAGCTTATGTACTTTTTATTTTAGTCAATGTTTTGGAACTTTCAACTTACAATTTAC